GTGTAAACTCTCTTTGTGTATATCTATGTACTGTGCCTTACAGGAGAAGAGCCTTGGGCTTTCATTTATTTACTCAAGGCCACCAATGACACAATCATTTACTCAGTGCTAGGTCACAAATATATTAGAGAAATTAGCAAAAAATCAGTTGTGAATGGAAGTCCTTCAGCTTGTGAGCATACAGTGATGTAAGATTTGCTCCTCTCGAATTTTCTTCATCTGCAAGTTCTTCTCAGGTCCAAGGTCACATTTCTATTCCTTCCTAATTGTGTACAGGATGTGTGCACAATGTGAAAAACGACCAATCATGAAGAAAATTCAAGGATTTTTGAGTTTTGTTTTCAGACAAAGAAGAGGACTGCCTAAATGCATCATTTCTGTCCAACTGATGAAAAGCGACAAAAAAAGCAATCTACACTTTTATATGTGCAAAAGTTTGAACATCCACAGTCATGAATTTTTATGCAAATATGACATTTTTATGCAAATGTAGTGCATAATGTCTATTTATTTTCCGAGTTTAACATTTTGGGAAAAATAAAATAATATGAAACTTTTGCACAGGCCAGATTTTATGTGTGTTTTTTCAATTGTGTTGAATCCAGCAGTAGCTACTGTAGCAACAGCATTTGTGCATTAAAATGTGTGGAAGTAAATGTGTACATAGTTTCTCTTAGAAAATCAACCACCCAAAAAAACCTGATCGACTAAATTTTCCGCACAGTGTTTAAAAACTCCAGCAGCACTGTTGTGTCTGATCCACTCAGACCAGCACAACACACACTAACACACCACCACCACGTCAGTGTTACTGCAGTGCTGAGTATGATCCACCACCCAAATAGTACCTGCTCTGTGAGGGTCCATGGGGGTCCTGACCACTGAAGAACAGGGTAAAAGGGGGCTAACAAAGTATCAGAGAAACAGATGGACTACAGTCTGTAACTGTAGAACTACAAAGTGCACCTATATAGTAAGTGGAGCTGATAAAATGGACAATGAGTGTAGAAACAAGGAGGTGGTCATTATGTTATGCCTGATCGGTGTATAATTACTGTTTAATCTTAAATAGAGGTTTCTGCTACTGCATGACATAAACATGGACTATTGCCCAGTAAACAAAGAACGTCTGTGGACATCCAAATATAGTCAGTCCGTCAGGGACATGTTATGAGCATTAGTGGACGTCCTAAATCAGTTTTAAAGAAGTCAGTTCAGTGGTGATCTATTCAAGTCAAGTCAAGCCAAGTCAATAGGGAGTTTTCAGTTTCGTTCCATCGGCATAGGTGCTCTTACGATGATACGAAAAATATAATCAAAAAATAGTATCAAGAAGATAAGCCTGGGTTGTGCCAATTTCTTTATGGATGGCCTTTGTTTATTATAAACCTACAATATGACAAGTTCACATAAGTCTGCACGTAAATATCAGAATGTGACAGATCTGATGTAATACATGAAAAGAAACAGACTGAGCCGGGCCATCATTCGTCTCCTAGGCTTGGCTTTAATGATCTGTTGCATACATACAAACAGACGTAGACAGACAGATCAAACCTCTGATCATGTTTTGTGGCTGTTCCTCTTGTTCATTCGTTGCCCTGAGAGAACCAGGGAGAAGGGTCTGGCTGCAGACATGCACTCTCAGCCTGACGTGCACCGCCAGCCTATTGATGACGTCAGCACACGTTCTGTCACGACAGTGTTTTTATCGGTTTTATGAGGGAAAACAGTGAACCACGTAATGTTGGGAAACAAGAGCTACACTGAATGTATATTAATGTTGCCATAGTGATAATAAGGTAATTAAATATGGAAAATTTCACAGTAAAACCAGGACGAGTAAAACTAGAATCGGTTATCAAAAACTGTAATAGTGATTAAAATAGAACTCATTAAGGGTTCTAGGAGGAGTTGTGACAACATACAGTCAACACAGTACTGATTACTGCCTCGTCTACGTCGTCACAACCTCCTAGAAAGTTGTCAAGACAACACTGTCATAACTTTACATTTATGAGGAATTACATTTCAACGTTGTGACAATGTAGAGAGCACCAAGCAGACAATGTTGTCGACACCAAAACAGTACATTGTCACAACATAACTGTGTTTACATGTGGAATCAGTCGCACCTGATTAAACGATCAAACACCTGATTAAACGATCAGAATCCTTTACACTATGATATCAAACCATCAGGAAAACACAGAACACCATTAGTGACCACTGAAAACCACCAGGAACCGACAGACACTTTTAATGGGTTCTACGATGTTTTTCAACAGGGAGGTACATTAAATGTGATCATCTAGCCGTGTTATGGACATCTCTAAGAGCAGAAGTTACCGCGCCGTTTTGCTGCTTCTGCCATTGTGGCAGAGAGTGCGTGTGCACGTGACGTCACTGGGGCTGAGAGTGCATCTGGCTGAGAGTGCAGGTCTGCAGCCAGACTCTATTGGAACCAGGAGCCAAAACAAGAAGTATAGGTGCAGTAAACCCCAACCTTCAACCCCCACCCCTCAGTCCGCTATCCAAATGTAGTCAATCAGACAAGGCATGTTTGGTGTCTGGAGTTTGCTTCTGTAGCTTTGCCCTGGAGCTCCAAGGCTAAAGTAGCTAGTAATGGATGTTTATGTACACCAATTAGCATTACATATAAATCATCACACAGCTGTGTTAAACCATGATGAGTAATCTACAATAGAGGTTTCTGCTCCTGCATGACATACTGCTGTCTATAAACATGGACTAAAGTACGGGCAAAGTTCAAGCCAGCTGCTCCTGTTTTTAGCTATGCTAATGTCTTTTGTTCATTTTTAGAGATAACAGTGGGTCAAACAGTGTCAGAAACCACATAATCAAGTTTATTAGAGATTACCTTGTAATGTAAATGAAGTGTGATGATTAAAGCATGCAGTTAGCACCATGCTAATTGATGCTTCCAGTACGTTCCTTATAGTTAGCCTTGTACACTAGCCTCTTAGCTCCAGTACACAACTATTTGTCTTCTCTGAGGTAAAGGGGAAATAACACTTAACTTGAACCCTGCTACATAACACTGACATAACCATCCTACAAACATGTAATAGCAGATGTTATATGCTGTCAGAAATTGCCACGACAGATTGTGTTCAGTACTAAAACAATGTTATCCCTGAAAAAAAATGATGATTGGTAAACACAAAGGAATCCTTGGAACATTAAGTTAAGCCCTTCTGTTCAAGACTTTTGCATGCTTTTGTGTCATTTTCTGTCATTATGTTAATGGTGAATTGTCCTAGCCTACCCTTTAAAAAAAGGGAGTCTGTAAAAAGCAATAAAAAATCTTTTTATTTACAAAAAAGTCTGTAAAATTACAGTAATGTAACTTCATAGAAATACTGTCTTTACTGTAATTCAACAGGTTCACTAGTTCAACTACTGACATACAGTATTTTATCATCATAATAACAGTAACAGCCAGTAAAATAAACGCGAATGTCCGTGAAATACAGGCGATCATTAGTTACGTTCTACTTCTGTAAATTAACAGCAGCATTAAAATACAGCATTTGTGTGGTGTATTTAAACGCATTTATCTGTTTTTTCAAAAATCAGGGATGAACTTCTGAAAAATAAATGGAACACTCACCAAACATCTCTCTAATTAACCTGTAAACACATTTTTACAGGTTAATTAAGCTTTTTATATGGACACAGCAGCCAAATAAGCACTACCTTCCTTTTTTTCTGACCTCCAACAGCAGAAGTTACATAAAGGCATTTATGTGGGAAGTAAACGATTCTGAGTTGGAAAATTCTGAGCTTCTGTTTGTCAGGAACACAGCATAAGTTGTCATAACATCAAGCACTACGACATCTGTCACGACAATAACTAGTAATTAAAGCATTACACTGTTATATCACCGAACAAAATCTGTCATATATTTACAGCACGTTTATGTAATTATTATTTCGCGATATCAAGTAAAGTGTTACCAAAATTATATACGTTTAATTAGTTTGTCACAGCATTGCTTTAGCACAATTGTAGCCCTTCAGCTAAAACGCCATCAGAAAGTGTTCACACTGCGAGCCTTTTGGTACCATGGAAACAAAAACATCAAGGTTGGCATTATGTGTCATTATGTCAGGCATGTTGGAAGGAGAGGGCTGATCTGGGCTCAGGGTTTTTTTTATCAGCTTTGACATTATAATGAATACAGCGTGAAAAACACGGGCCTGTGATTTTGAATAATGAGTAATAGTCCTGCACTATTACTGTTGACCAAGGCCTGAAAACCATCAGTATGAGCTGAAGGAGCTTTGACATTGCTAACACACATGTTCCACGTCCTGCAGTTTTCCACAGGTCATGGTCCATAGTCATTGTTCTGCTTCTCGCATCTGTTAATGCAGAACCCATTAGGGGTTTCCAGTTGAATTGAGGCTGTTCTGATTTAGGCTGGGTCATAAGCTGTTGATCTGCTGCCAACATTATGGGGAAAACTCACAACGCTTAATGTAAAAATATCAAAACGTTTTACCGGCAGTATTAAAATAATATGTTGCTATATTTTGATATTTTGTCAGTGATATATCTAAAAAATGAGGCAGAGATGGGGAATGTCATTAAAGGGGCAGACAGACCAAAAAACAGCATTTTATATATATTCTATATCATGTTTTGCGTCTCTCAGCCTCATCAGTTTGAATCTAGATTCAAAAATGTTATTTTCTCTTGGTGTTTTCATCAATCCGTGTTTTTGCATTATGATACTCAGAAAACATTACATTATACAACTATTGGGAACTCCTCACACTTAAAAAGAAAGGTTTTTCAAGGGTTCTTGAAGCCTCCGATTGGTCGACAAGCCAGGAGCACAGTCTCTGATTGGTCAACAAGTCAGAAACACAACCTCTGACTGGTCAACAAGGCAGAAACACAGACTTTGATTTGTCGACAAGTCAGAAACACAGCCTCTGATTGGACGACAAGTAAGGAACACAGCCTCTGATTGGTCGACAAGTCAGGAACACAGCCGGTGATTGGTTGACAAGTCAGGAACACAGCCTTTGATTGGTTGGCAAGTCAGGCCCACAATCTCTGATTGGTCAACAGACTCAACTCAAGGCATCAGTGGATGGCAAACAGCCATGCTAACAACAACCTCTTTTCAACACAGAGAAGTGGATAAATAATCACAGAAAACAATCGGATTCGTAAAAAATGTTGGATTCGTAAAAAGACATAATTTTATGAATTTATTTTACGAAGTCTCCGAAAAACAGTGCAGTTCAAGGCTGGATTACAAAACCTCAGAAAAGGATATGATCACACCAGAGCCCTCATTAGACAGTACAATGCTAGCCAAGTCTCTAGCATGCAGCGTTCCCAAGATGTGTTTCTTTTATGAATGATGTTTGTAATGATGTTGTGTACAACATTATCAATGTGCAAGGCTTAATATTCTGGTTGGAAGAATACAGCTCACCTGATTTAGTTAATGAAGGATCGATTAGGTAAAGGAGGTATTGCTGTAAATACTGGACTTCCTTGAGGAAAGGTTTGGAAATGGTTAAACCTACACTCTTGCATACAGGACAATCAAAACTGTTTATTTATTTATTTGTTTGAATTCTAATGGAAGTGTTTTAACAAACAAATGTTTACTGCCCAGATTAAAAGATTTACAGACCATTTGTTCAGATGTTTCACAGCGTTTGTGCTGCAAAATGAAAGCAAATTCTACAGACATTTCAAATGGATCAGTTGTCCAATCAGTTACTTTGAAATGTTAAGCTACACTGTAAAAAAGAATATTTTCACAGAGTACTCTAAAATGAATGGTTAATACCCATTTATCGAAAAAACTTAAATGCATGTAAATAAACCGTACCTATACTGTATTTTAACACTGTTGCTGTTAATTTACAGAAATAGGCTGTAAATTTACAAAAACAAATGATCACCTTTAGTTTACAGACAGTTGCCTTTATTTTAGTGGTTGTTACTGTTACTGTGACGGTAAAATACTGTATGTCAGTAGTCACAAGTAGTGAAACCATCGAAATATAGTTTTCTAAAAAAATGAAACGACTGTAATTTTACAGATTTTTGCCATCATTGAGAAAACACACTTTTATTGTTAACTAACAGTTTTTTTCTGTTAACCCAGCTCTCGGACTTTTTGTTTGATGATGGTATTTGCAGAATTTGCATTCTTTTATGTTTTTCTTTGGTTTTCAGTGGCTTTCACAGCTTATTGCCCTGTATTTCGGGAAAAACATCGGCTCAACGACTATTTCCCAAACGCTGTACTGCATCTGGGACCCACCATGCTGAGTGAACGCTCTAACCTCTGTAATGAGACCGAAATGAAAAAGCAAGGCATTCCGCTTCGCTCACGGAGCTCAGGGGCAGTGAGGCAGTATGTGTGAAACAGGCTTTTGCACAGTGCTGTACACAGTAAGGTGATGCTCATGGGGTGATGTGTTGGTATGTTAGTGAAAGGTCTGAAGGGACGTGCTGAGGGGCGGAGTTTATCATGTTTCCAGGGGCGACCCATTGACGTGCACTGGCTCCGATCTGTGGAGCGGATCTGTTCAGGCCTGCTCCGTTACAGCTCCTCCTTTCGCTTGATGATGAGCTTCCGCACCATGTCTGCAATCTGAGGCCGAATCTCCTTCACCGACACTTTGGGACCCCATGAGCCCACAACCTTCCCATCGACATCTATCAGATACTTCCAGAAATTCCAATCAGGCTCCTTCCCAGAGGCCTCTGAGAGAGAGAGAGAGAGAGAGAGAGAGAGAGGAAAAGAGAGTTGATCAGTTATGGAGTACGTTGAGTTATTGCCCAGAATTAATGTGACGTCTTTCAGGCTTTTATCAGAAATTGCATCTAAAAATACCAAGAAACTACAAGAGTGTGTTGATCATAACTTGAGCAGAGCACAGACTTTCTCCTCCGCTTCACTCATCCACAAATGAGTCTGACCTTTTTAAATGTTCCATCTGTTTGCATGTATATTAGTTCAGTTCACTGATGTGTTTCTAACAGAGAAATTCAGCACGGTTTTTAAAGCAGCTCAACACTGGGAGCTTTTCTCCATGTTCTCCTCTACATTCAGGTACTGAGAGTTTCTCTGATCTCTGAACTGAACAGAAACACACTGAACATCCCAGCGTTTCAGCATCACAGAGCAGATCAGACTGACGGAGCAGAATCAGCAAACCAGCAACCCTTTATTCTGAGACTGCGTATCTCTCTCTGTATATATCTCTCTTTCTGTATCTCTCTCTCTCCCTCTCTCACTTTATTTCTCTCTTTCCCCATCTCTCCCTCTCTCTCTGTATCCCTCTCTCCCCCCCTCTCTTTCTTTCCCTCTTTCTCACCCTCTCTCCCTTTCTCTCTCTGGTCTCTCTCGACTTTCTCTCACATTTCTTTCATTTCCACCTCTCTCATTTCTTCTCTTCATGTTCTCCTTCTTTCTCTCACATATCCCTTCCTATCTCTCCCTCTCTCGCTCTCTCTCTCTCTCTCACATCCCCCCTCTCATTTCTCTTTTCTTCTCGCTTATTTCTTTTTCTCATTTCTCTCCTTTTCTTCTTTCTTTCTCTCTCATTTCTCTCCTTTTCTCCTTTCTTTTTTTTGCTCTCATTTCTCTCCTTCTTTCTTTTTTTCTCTCTCATTTCTCTCCCTTTCTTTTCTCTCTCATTGCTCTCCCTTTCTCCTTTCTCCCTCACTCTCTCTCATTTCTCTTTTCTTCTCTTACTCATTTCTATTTTTCTCATTTCTCTCACTTTCTCCTTTCTTTCTCTCTCGTTTCTTTTCTCCTTTTTTCTTTCTCTCTCTCATTTCTTTCCCTTTCTCTTCACTCTCATTGCTCTCCCTTTCTCCTCTCTCCCCCACTCTCTCTCATTTCTCTCTTTTCTTCTCTCTCTCTCATTTCTCTTTTTCTCATCTCTCACTTTCTCCTTTCTTTCTCTCTCTCATTTCTTTTCCTTTCTCCTTTTTTTCTTTCTCTCTCTCTCTCTTTCTCTCTCCCTCTCATTTCTCTCCCTTTCTCCTCTCTCCCCCCACCCGCTCTCATTTCTCTCTCTTTCTCTTTTTTTCTCATCTCTCGCCCTTTCTCTTCTCTCTTTTCTCTCCCTTTCTCTTCTCTCTCTTTTTTCTTTGCCTTCCACCTTCTTTCTTTCCATTTTTTGCTTCTTTCTTTCTTTCTTTCTTTCTTTCTTTCGTTCTTCATTACCCCATCTCCCACTCTGACTGAGCTGCAGGTTTTAGTTTGATTTCTCCGTCGCTCACCATCGCCATGGTAACCTCCTCTCGATGCACATTCTTATAGAGTAAACAAAGCGCTGTGAGAGGACATAATCAATCCATTAGGTTTATCTTTTCTCGTTGAGGGTCTTACCTATTATTGGTGCTCATTAAACAAGCTAGCAAACAAATCTGAGGCGCAGGTTCCCACACACACGGCTAATTACGTGGCGTGAACACGGGAACGATCACAGACAGTAATGGTATTTCCACAGTGAGCAGGCAGGGAGGAGATTTTCTCTTTCCTCTCATCAAAAACACTTTTATAAAATCAGAGTCTTCTTTTAAATAAACAACCATTATAGAAAAAAGGCTATATTTCTGTGTCTATAGTAGGAAATACATTTTCGGTTAAGGAATTTGTGCTCATTCAATCAAAAGAGCATTTGTGAGATCAGTCACTGATGTTGGACGTGAGGGTCTGGCTCACAACCAACATTCCAGTTCATCCCAAGGGTGTTCAGTGGTGTTGCGGTCAGGGCTCTGTGCAGGCCACTGGAGTTCCTCCACATCAAATTCATTAAAACATGTTTTTATGGAGCTCACTTTGTGCACAGGGGCTCCGTCACGATGGAACAAGAAAGGGTTTTCCCCAAAACACTGCCACAAAATTGGAAGCATAGAGTTGTCTAAAATATCTTTGTATGCTGTAGCATTAACATCCCTCTTCACAGGAATTAAAGGGCCTGAAAAACAGCCTCAGCCCATTATCCCTCCTCCACCAAACTTTACTGTTGGCATTCTGGTAGGCAAACCCAGATTCCTCCATTAGACTGCCAGATAATGAAGTGTGATTCAACAATTGTTTCCACTGCTCTTCAGCGCTAGTGTATATTATGTATATGTGTATATATTTAGCGTCTGTGTTTATATATTTCTTTTTTCTTCTTCTATATGTATATTTTTTGTATAAATTCTAAAAGTGGGCTACACACCTAAGATTTTCACTCACCTTGCTTCTGTGTAAATGTGATGTGACAATAAACGTGACTTGATTTGCAATATAGCATGTAAATATGTCATTTTAGGAAAATAATCACACCACACAATCATTTTGCCATCTTAAAAAAAAACTACGCCATTTCTGTTTATTCCATATTTTATTTTTTCCAGTACTCATCATTTTAACACTATGAAGTTTGGTCAGTAGGGGGTGAAGTGCACTCACCACTCGACACTGCTTTCGTTTTATTGGCTTCCTACTGAAACATCTGCATGAATCAGGCTGTGCTTTATGTAATGATATATAAACGTGGTGCTGTTAGGCTGCGCTTGATTTCACGCACTGAAGCTGATTCATCAAATCTCTGCTTGTTTCCATGTACAAATGCTTCATGAATCAGATGTAGAGCAGTTCATTCGTCATTGAAGGAGATCAAGTCCACACTCTGTTTACGCAACGTTTATGAGAGCCAAACAGAATTTAATGTTCAGTTTACTTTATATATGTGGGCTGAGAAAGTGTAGTGTGTGTGCTGAGCCTCACCTGCGAGGTATTTGAAGGCGTTGTTGGCACCCGTCCCCACCACAGCGATCTTGCTGAAGATCGGAAAGGAGGCGCCGTAAACTCGCCGGACGAAGTTGTCGATCTCCTTGTCGCTGCCCGGCTCCTGCTGACCGAACTGATTGCAGGGAAAGGCGAGGACGTTGAAGTGATACGGGCCGAAATCGCGCTGTAGCTGCTGCATATCCGTGTAGTGCTCCTCCGTGAAGCCGCACTCACTCGCCACGTTCACCACCAGGGACACCTGACCACACACAGGCCATCACAACCAAAACAGGAGCAGTTTAAAGCGAAAATTTGTTTAAAAAAAATCTAATTTCAAATCTGGTATGAATATATTCCGACATGTTCAATGTCTGAAATCTGCTTTTTGAACTAGAGTTATGAGGTAAATGCAGCAAGTTATTGAAGCTCCAGAGAAAATGGGTCTCCTAGCAACCACCTGGAAGACCTGGTAGACACTAAAACTGTCCCCCCATCAGATAAACAGCACTTATAGCTTTCATCTTTGAGAGAGAGGAGAAAATCAAGCTGCTCAGATCAGAAAACATCCACAGGGGTTTCTGTCCATCCTTCCACTGTGAGACGACTGATGCAGTTGCTTTGAGAACAGCTACTGCGTTGCTGTGTTTAGATTACTCAATAAAGCGGTCGCTTTTATTAACCTCTGGCCTACTTTGATTGATCTCTTGATAGCTTTAATTGTATTCATTAGTAATTAATGCCCTTATTAAGTCACACTCACAAATACACTTTATAATTATACACTTTATAATTATAATTAACCAAATAACTCCAAGTATATCTAGGTCGACATAATTTTCATATGGATTTGTAAGTTTTAAATTTATTTAGATATTATCTTATAATGAAATGAAAGATTAATCTCTCTTTAAACATAATCAATTTTTTTTTACAAAAGTGATGAAATAAAGTACAGAAGCCTTGAAAAATTCGGACACTTGTGTTCCCAATAAGCCCACTCATTGCTTTATTTCATCTTAATGACCAGTAGCAAACATTAGCAAACCACTGTTAATCAAAAATCATTTAGACTAACTTACTGACGGTAGTGTTTCAGCTGACTTAGACTGTTTGGCTATTTGACTATATTATGGCACTGTGAGCCACCCACATTTGAATTCCTCATAGTGCTATATTTCTATATTTATACTAATAAAATAACAGTGTCACTTTTTCAAAAATGTCTGCATAATTCAACGGTTAATACGTAAACAGAGTCATTCAGAGTGGTTTGGTGTGAAACGCTCTGTTCTAGAGAAACTTACTGAGTCAGAACTGTTCACAGTGGTGGTGATAGGAACCAGACGTCCACCTCAAAAAGCTCCCTCACAGAGAGTTCTTACATGAAATGGTTATGAATGCACTGACTGATGTCTGAGACATTGTTTTATGGTAGTTTTGAGGCAGTTTTAGCGTTTTATATATATATATATATATAAAAGAAAACATATTTTTTCAGATTTTCATCATCAGCATTACATATGAACACTCAGAAAACACGTGTAGGTTCACTGGTGGTTCTAGATAGTAAATAAAATGTCTATATTTGTGTTGTAGTCATGGCAAACCCTGGTTCCTATCACTACCACTGAAAAGAAATCAGAGTCTCTACAACCAGCCATTTCACACCAAAGTACTCTGAATGTCTCTCAACCACTCAATTACACAGACATTTTGAAAAATGTGTGGAATTCTCCTTTTACCCTGAATCTAAGCAGAAAAGAAAATATCTGTGAAGAAGAGAGAGAGAGAGAGAGAGAGAGAGAGAGAGAGAGAGAGAGAGAGAGAGTGGTGAGGTCCTTTGAGGAGAACTGTTTTTACACTGTATTTAATGTTGTACTTTGGTAATCAGGTCTGCTTTGACTGGCCTTTAATTGGATGAATTAATAATTAATGTGCTGATTAAGCCACATCAGTACACACCAGCGATCAGACTCACAGGAGCTGTCGCTCCAGAACACTTTGGGCACTGAGGTTTTGTTTTTCCGTCATTATTATTGTTATTTTTTTTACTTTCTGCTTCAGACAAAACTTGTGAGGAATTCAGACAAAACACAGTTCCTTTACTAAACACAGAAGATTCTTTTCAAAGAAAGACACTGTGTGACTCTCGGGTCATTTCAGAGTGACCCCTCATGAAAAAGAACCGCAGTTAAAAAACAACAGAAACAAAAACGTGCAGTATAATCAACAGCAGCTCTTACAGTTCGCAAAGCGCCGCAATTAAGCAACTCTAAGAGCACATGGTTAAGTGCTGTTATGTGGCCTCAATAGTGAGTACAAGTGGAAAAGAAACTGTGTCTATGAAAGAGAGAGAGAGAGAGAGAGAGAGAGGGAGAGAGAGGGAGGGAGAGAGAGAGGGGGAGAGAGAGAGAGGGAGAGAGGGAGGGGGAGAGAGAGGGGGAGAGAGAGAGGGGGAGAGAGAGAGGGGGAGAGAGAGAGGTGTAGAAGTGCTTTGAGGATTTCTGTTCCTTTGTTTCTTGTATAATTAGAGTATTGTAATAGAGCGCTGTAGCTCAGGGGAGCTGTTGTTTAAGGGACTGCTGGGTAAATTGTGTAGGTTTTGCTTTTTTTTTTAAACTCTTTGTTTGAATCTGATGTTCTGACCAAACTGGTAATACAATCACATGCAAATGTTTGGCCACCCTGGTCAAACTACACTGGCATTGGCTGTGACACACTTCTGCACATTTTAATACACAATTGCTGTTTATTTGCTGAGTTCAGCATATTACAGCGTAAAAACTCAAACCATGGCCTGTGCAAAAGTTTTCACACAGTTTATATTTCAGTCTTTTTCCAGTCTGTTAAACTCAGCAAATAAGGAGGAACTGTGCACTGAAATTTGAAGAGGATGTCTTAATGGGGTGAATTACTTATGACTGTACTTTAGTTACTTTTTACTTAAAAGCAGGGCTGCAGCCAAGAGACAGAATTAGAATTGTAAAGCTATTTTTTAATTCTAGTTATAATTTAGAATTCTATAGTTATTACCTAGACTAGAGTTATTACTTAAAATTCAATGGTTATCACTTAACACTAGCGTTAATTTCCTAGAATTTTAGCATTGTTACTTAGAATTATATAGTTATTACATAGAATTACAGAATCATTTCTGAAAAATTTGTGGTCATGACTTGAAATTTCTAGAGTTATTACTTAGATTGTTGTAGTTATTACTTAAGGTTTTTGTGTTATTTCTCAGAATTCTAGTTATTACTTAAAATTGTTATAACTGATAATTCTAGACTTATTAGCATTATTACTAAGAATTCTAATATTATTACTTAAAATTCTAGAGTTACTTATAATTCTAGGTTCTAGAGTTGTTACTTAGGATTATCTAGTTATTAATTAGAATTCGAGTTGTTGCTTTTTAGAATTTTAGTTACTTAAAATTCTAATGTTATTCTTTTGAATCCTAGTTATTGCTTAAAATTTTAGTATTTAAGTATTTTTTATTAAATTACTTAGAATTCTAGAATTATTATTTAGAATTCCAAAGTTATTACTTAAAATTCTAGAGCTATCTAGAATTCTAGCATTATTACTTGGAACCATAAAGTTAATACTTAGAATTCTATAACTATTGATTAGAATTCTAGTGTTCTTACCCAGAATTCTAGAGTCATTAGATTTCTATAGCTATTACTTAGAATTCTATAGTTGTTATTTAGAATCCTATAGGTATCACTTAAAATTATTGTGTTATTCCTTATAATTCCAGTTATTACTGAATTTTTTTGTGTTATTACTGAGAATTCTATAGTTATTATTTACAATTCAAGAGTCGTTACCTAGAATTCTATAGCTATTATCTAAAATTCTAGAGATATTATTTAGAATTCTACAGTTATTTCACATTCTGCTTCGACTGGCTGCCCTGTATGGTTCCTCATTTAAAAAAAAACAGTGCAGGCTGAAACACTACTTATAACTTCAGTTTAGTGGGTGGGGCTAAACTGGTCTAGGCTGAAAAGCTGGATATATGAAAATGCATTGGTGTTTGTGACATCACAAAACATTTAATTCAAAATGTGCTGTTTTTGCTTAGTTTCCATGGATGGGCTGTGAGCTGGAGAGTAGATGGTACCTTTGAAACTTCAGCGATGTTTCTATGCTACATCAAACTATTTTGTATCAAAAAGTCAAGGATATTTGGTTTTTTCATTATATGGGCCCTTTAAAATTTTACTGCTTGACACTGTATGATTGCATAGGTCATTTCAGAGTGTCCTTTTAAAGTGTGGTTAAAAAAAGTAATAATAATAGCAATAACAACAGCAATTAGGAAACAGAGTTAGCTCTAATGTTGCTTTTCAGTCTAGAAATGTAAAAAGGAAAATGAAAGAAAGAATAAAAAAATGTTATGGAACAGAGAGGAGAGAGAGAGAGAGAGAGAGAGAGAGAGAGAGAGAAGTTGAAGTTCTTTGAGGATAACTGTGTTTACATTTGAGTATTTGATTCTGCACTACTTTAATTGGTCATCTAGACTGCATTGACAGAACCCTTAAGAGTCGTTAACTGGATGAATTAATTATTAAAGCACTCATTAGGCGCTCGTGGCATATAATCTCCGGTTGAATGGTTGTTGAGTAACAAAGTTGGAAATCACTATTCTCATACTCAAGGGCACAGTGAAGAACGCTAGTGGAACAGAAACAGTCCCTTATCACTATTTCCTATACTGAAGCACAACATAGAACACTGTTGTAGTGAACAGAAATTGACCTTAATCACTATTGCCACATTGAAGCACTATAAAAAACACAATCATAGTGAACATAAATTGTCAACCATTCACTATTCCCTACATTGGAGCACTATATAGAACAATATTATAATGAGCAGAATTTGACCTTAGTCACTATTGCCAGAACACTATTACGGTGAACAGAAATTGACCTTAATCACAATTGCCTACACCAGAGTACTAAGATTAATAATAATAATATAATGAATATAAGGAAATGGTCCACTATTTGCTATTCCCTATACTGGAGAACTATATAGAACACTACTATAGTGAACAGAAATGGTCCACTAATCACTATTCCCTACACTGGAGAACTATATAGAACACTACTATAGTGAACAGAAATGATCCACTAATCACTGTTTCCTACATTAGAACACTATATAGAACACTACTATAGTGAACAGAAATGGTCCACTAATCACTATTCCCTACACTGGAGAACTATATAGAACACTACTATAGTGAACAGAAATGATCCACTAATCACTGTTTCCTACATTAGAACACTATATAGAACACTACTATAGTGAACAGAAATGGTCCACTAATCATTATTCCCTACACTGGAGAACTATATAGAACACTACTATAGTGAACAGAAATGATCCACTAATCACTGTTTCCTACATTAGAACACTATATAGAACACTACTATAGTGAACAGAAATGGTCCCTAATCATTATTCCCTACACTGGAGAACTATATAGAACACTACTATAGTGAACAGAAATGATCCACTAATCACTGTTTCCTACATTAGAACACTATATAGAACACTACTATAGTGAACAGAAAGGGTCCACTAATCACTAATCCTTATGTTGGAGCACTATATAGAACACTATTATAGTGAAATGAAACAGACATTACTCACGATTCCCTGCACTGTATCACTGTTGAACACCTTTATAGAGATCTGAAATGGTCCCTAATCACTATTTCCTACATTATGTGAAATTATAATTAAACATTATAATTAAAATTAGAAGCACTATATACAACACTGTTACAGGAAACAGAAGTGGTCTAATCACTACCTACACTGGAACACTATATACAGTAGAACACTATTATTATTTATAATAATTTATATACCAACCTCTAAACATTGGTTTGTTCATTGGTTGCATACAGCACTGTATGGCATACAGTATAGTTTAGGACACTTTTTTACTCTCTGGTCTGCTTTCCATGGGCTGTAGATGAGGGAGGACAACCCACAGTCTGGATAACATCCGAGCGTTCAGTAAATCCCTTCACAAATTCTCACTCATTACTGTTATTCATTACAGTGGACATAATCACATTAGGTAGGATTATGGCTGAAGATGGATTTTAGGAGGTAACAGCAGAGAGGAGAGGAGCGAATTCACGTTCCAGTCCATTCATTCATTAATGGACTGAGCTGTAGATGTTTGACTGAGCTCACTGTGAGCTGAAGGCGACCATAGTGTGCCTCACTTATACACACACACATATACCGCACACTTGTTTTTATACAGTATCAGGATGAAGGAACGCATATACATATGTACACCATATACAGCACTGTGCGAAAGTTTAGGGCACCTGAGAAAATTAGAATTAAAAAGCTGTTTACTTGGCCAATAAGTGTTAAATGACTTGCTGGTCAGGAAACAGTGTGTATATATATATACATATATCCCTGAGGATGCCCAGTATAGCATAGACTGGGTAACCAATGCTTAAATTATGTTAAATCAGGTCTGATTCCAAATCTGGAACCAAATTCTCACTACTTTTAAATATATTTGTGTTTATTTGCGTTTTTTTATAATGATATATCGTGATTTTACAAGCATAAAAACACAATAAGATTTAGAAATAAATTGAAATTAGCATATTTCTCTCTGGTTTTACTGCAAAGTCAAGACATTTTTGTTCTGAAAATGTATAAAAACAAGCACACACACACACACACACACACACACACACAGACCTGCACAGCTCCCATCGTGGTGAAGCCAAGTGCTCGGCCTCCAAAGGCCAGTTAATAGAGAGAAGGCCAAACGGATCTAATCTGACCAATCTCCTTGCATTTCTCCGCTAACAGAGGGAACAAAGTAAGTGCACTTTCTCTCCCTTTCCATCCATCATTCTCTCCACTCGATCACTCTCTTTCCACTACTTTTTTCGTGCCTGTGCACCTTTATAAGGCTGTCACTGAGTATGTGGGTATGTTTTCTCTGTATTAGGGGTCTCCTCTAGGAAACTACAGAAACATCCATTACTCACAGTGGAGTACTGGGGGGCTTTATTATACAGGGTGAAACGATGGAGAGCCACTGCAGTGCCTACAACTTATATTCTCCTTATAAAACTAATGGATGTATGTATGAAATCTTACATCTTTATCTTATAGATACTTGTATGTATGTAACTAATCCCCATTTATATTTTATTTATCCTCACTAGTTAATGTAACAGCGTTGTCTTCCATCTGGGCCACTTCTGTTGGCCTGTCCACCATGAAATTTTAACACAATGCAAACGATAACTAGATGTATGTCAAAAATAAAAAAATGACATGGAGATTTTGTGTGAGCATCACATATGTAAGTACTATGTCATAATAATAGTATATATGTATGTACCTCTATGTAATAACAGTATGATATACGTAAGTATATGTAATATCAATATTATATGTGCGAGTACTTATATAATATTTATGTATATACCTTTATGTAATAACGTTATACAAATGCATGATATATATATATATATATAGTAATATTCTGAAACTACCTTTATATAATAACAATATTCTATATGTAAGTATTTAAATGTAATAATTTTAACAAAAATAACATTATTTGTAATATTTTGAAGATACAGCAAAAATATGTAAGTGTACACACACAAACACACACACACACACACACACACACATATATATATATATATATATATATATATATATATATATATATATATATATATATATATATATTCGTATTTTTTGTTAAGGTCCATTCTAAGGACCTTAACAACTGCCCCTAGCTGAGGATTAGACCCTATTAAACTTAGTTCTAGCAGAGTAGGTCTTTCATTTATTGTTGTCCAACAGCGCCCACTAGCGCTTCACCGCATGTAATTACAGCTTGTGCTGAAATTCACACACTTAAATCACGTTATTTCAAATTAAAAAGCAGTCAGCCTTTCAGCTTTGAGGAATGAGCTTGGCTCCACTCCGGGCTCCTGGAGATTTTAATGCATTAATATCTTTATATAATATAACATCTTTACATGTAATTAAAATAACCTGCCTAGTGCGACCTGAGGTGATCAAAACATTAAAAAGTGCATGTTTAGTAGCTACAGTAGTGGTGAGTAGTGTAAAATTCAGTCAGGCTGTTCCTGTTGGACACAATCACTGTAGTGTGATGCAGCACCACGCTGATCCACTTGAATGCTGGGTGGTTGGGTTCATTATAACAGAGTCAGTGAACTTAAATGAGAGAAAAACGCTCGGCTGCCTTTAAAGAGTGAAAGTAGCTCATTTTCTCTCCACCTTTCTGGTCCAGACGAGCAAAGGAGGTGTGAGGAGAAGCAGAAGTGTAGATGTGTGCAGGATTGGAAGAACAGGTTTGCCACGTAGGCAGATGGAGACAAAGAGACTCGGTTCAGTGTTAGTGATGTTACTTTATTAGAGACGCCCAGTTCACAGAGCCGGAGCGGCGCATGCTGGAGGAGACACGGAGGAGTTAGACGCAGCTTTTTCCATGCATAACTGAGTATAACGCCGAGCTGAATCAGCTCCTCGTTCGTATTTTTCCCGTTCCACCTTAAATGAATGTAACTGCTGCAGCATTTAAGGTGGAACGGGAAAGTTCGAGCTCTCAGACTCACCGAGCCCCGGTACTTCTCCAGAGACACTAATCTCCCTCTGCTGTTCACCACCTTAAAGGTGTAGAAGTCCCTCTGCTTCGCCTCGCCCAGGTAGGACAGGAGCAGCACCGGCAGGAAACCCAGCGCCCGGAGGATCATGACTGCAGCCGGCTCAGCTACTTCCATACACTGCGCTGAGCCTCTGCCTCACTCTGCCTCTCTCTGCCTCCCTCTCTCAGACACATACAGCAGCCCAACCCTGCGCTGGAAATACGCAGCGACAACACTGCGCACTGAACACGTAGCGCTCCGCGCAGCGACAAGCCTGCGCAGGAAACGCGCAGCTCCAGTAAACAGAACACAGAACAGAATCCCATCCCTATAGTGAATACTTTCAAATGTAGTGCACTAAATAAGTGATAGTTTCACACACAGTGCACTGTATAAGTTAATAGTTTCAGACATAACAAACTACAGTGTGGGCAGTTTCAGACGTAATGCACTGTACAGTGAATAGACAGTTTCAGACGTAGAAAACCATATAGTGATCAGCTTCAGACATAGTGCACTGTATAGTGAATGGTTCAGACTAGCATGTATATGAATGGTTTCAGACGTGCACTTTTAGTGAATGTTTCAGACATAGTGCACTGTATAGTGAATGGTTTCAGACAGTGCACTTTATAGTGAATGGTTTCAGACATAGTGCACTGTATAGTGAATGGTTTCAGACATAGTGCACTGTATAGTGAATGGTTTCAGACATAGTGCACTTTATAGTGAATGGTTTCAGACATAGTGCACTGTATAGTGAATGGTTTCAGACATTGTGCACTGTATAGTGAATGGTTTCAGAAGTAGTGCACTGTATAGTAAATGGTTTCAGATGTAGTGCATTATACAGGGAATGATTTCAGTCATATTGCACTATAAAGGTGAATAGTTTCAGACACAGGGCATTGTGAAATGAACAGTTTTAGACACAATGCATTATATAGTGAATAGTTTCAGAAGCAGTGTACTGTATAGTAAACAGTTTCAGACAGCATGCATAATGCAGTCAACAGTTTGAGACTGAACTTTTACAGACATAGTGCACTATTTAGTGAACAGTTTCAGAAATAGTGCACTATATAGTGAATTGTTTCAGACAGTGAACTATAAAGTGAATTGTACAATGAAAAGTTTCAGGCATAGTGCACTAAATAGTGAATAATTTCAGACATAGTCCACTATATAGTGAACAGTTTCGGAATTAGTGCACTGTTTAGTGAACAGTCATAGTCATAGAGCACTTTATAGTGACCAGTTTCAGAAATAGCGCAATATATGATTAATAATTTGAGACAGTGCACTATACAAAGTATGTAGTATATAAATAGTGAGTAGTTTCAGGTATAGTGTGCTGTATAGTAACTAGTTTCAGACACAGTGCACTGTGTAGTTTATATACAATAGTTTCAGATCTGGTGCATGTAGTGTGTTATATAGTGAAGAATTTCACACATAGTGCACTGTATAGTGAACAGTTTCAGACATAGTGCACTTCATGGTGAATATATCTGAAAATATTCACTACGAAGTGTGGTATGTCTGAAAATGTTCACTAAATAGTGAACAGTTTCAGACAAAGTGCACTTCATAGTGGATACTTTCAGACAGTGCATTGTATAGTGAATAGTTTCAGACAGTGCATTGTATAGTGAATAGTTTCAGACAGTGCACTGTATAGTGAATAGTTTCAGACAGTGCACTGTATAGTGAAGTTTCAGACAGTGCACTGTAGTGAATAGTTTCAGTGAGCTGTATCGTGAACAGTTTTTATTCAACATTGATACGTTGCTCTTTTCTTCATCCTCGACATCCTATCATACAAAATAGACAGACAAAAGAGCTTTGACATCTTTTGCTGTATTCACAGAAAAACAAAACGTTGTAAGTTTCTGGTGAAAAAGCTCGTTAACAGGGACTGTCAGGGAGCAAGTTAATGATAAATCCACCCCATCACTTGCATCTGAATATCTGACACAAAATTGATGTTATTGATGTTTTAAAAATGTTTTTAGTAACAGATGTTTAGTGTATGAGGCTGCAGGACCTGTGATTGGGATTACTTGATTTTCCAGTCAACCCTGCGCGCCGGACGCGCAGCGCGCCGCGCACAAACAGCCCCTGCGCAGAAAACGCGCAGCACAAAAAAGCAGCCAAGCTATAGCCGCCGCGCCTTCCCACAATGCTCATCGGCGACAGGCTAACATGGCGTCCGCGGCTGGTGTTTGGAGCGGGGCCTGCACCGAGGAGGAAAACAAAAACACCGCCGGACAGCGGGCCGCGTCCGACTAGCCACCGCGGGAGAACCGAGCCTCGAACACGGGCAGCATGTTGGCTTTGACGAGGCGCTTCTGATCGCAGCGCAGCGGAGAGTCTCGGTGGGTCGGAACTTCACAGCGGAGCGAGTCGGAGATCTGCTCTAATTAGAACTAACCGGTCCACCTTAAACGGAGGGGCAGCTACAGCCAGGCGCCTCTGTCGCCCGATTGTAATTGCTGCACCACTTAAGGTGGACCGGACAATTCGGAGGAGAAGCTAACTTCGGCTTCGTAACCTAGTTAGCTTAGCGTAGGTGTCCGGGCAGCGGCTTTAAAATGAAAAACACGGGCATTTATCGCGGTTTAAATGGAGATATTTTACAAAATAAACCTACTTTTGTTCATGTTTACGTCTCGACGCTCGCTGACAAGCTAGCTTAGCCGTTAGCCTACAGAGAGCCCGTGTTTTTATTCAATGTTATTGTTATTGTTTTTTGGTCGGAATCGTTTTAGGGGTTTTTTATTCTTAAATCACTCTTATTTTAACCTTTAACCAGCGATACTTTCGTCAAATGTCTGATCTGCATCGTTGGCGTTAACAAGTGGTTTTTCTCGCTAAATACGTGCCGGAACTTTGCGTATGTAAATAATATGTAAATCACGTGGTCCGCGCGTCCGCTGTTATGTAAATGATATGCAAATGTCCTGTGCGTTTTCGTTACTCGCGCATTCACTTTTTATGCAAATTGTTCGCGTTTGCTCTTGTCTTGCGCGCCTGCGTTACTCTCGCTGGTTATATGTCAATATTACGTTCGTGATTTTGTACGTAAATATGTGAATTTGGAAATATGCAAATCGCATCCGTGCGTCTGCCTTACTCGCAGCCTGTTTATGTAAATGATATGTAAATCGAAGCGCTGCTTTTTACTACTGTTTATGTAAATTATACCCAAATTGCGCCTGCGGTACCTTTGTTATATAATAATACATATTTATACACATCAGTTTTACTTTCACATTCTGTATGCAAATGACATGTTAATCGCGTGACGTGTGCAATCACGATTGATTCTAAATAATAGGTGAATGATATGAATCTGCGCTTCTAATTTACCCACATTCACTCCCATGTTCCTGTGGGTTTGACCCACTGTTTGTCATGTGATGAAGCAGAATGTTTATTTAGCTTGCCGTGATGAACTGATGGGGTCCTGAAGGGGGCGCTCTGTGATGTAGTCAAAGAGGAAATTTTGAGAATGAAAACAAAATCTGCAGAATTTAGTGGTTGAGATGTAGATAAAGTCACTCAGAGCAGTTTGAAGTGAAATGGTTCATTGTAGAGACGCTTACCAACTTCTTTAGGTTCAGTGAAGTAGCTTGTATGTCATTCAAGATGGTCAAATCTCCGCTAGTTTCTGTGCAGCTTTTATGAGTAAGGACCAGTGTGAGCATATGTACTGTGCAAAACATAGGACCCAAAGCTGAAGCAGAGAAGTGTTGGCGTCAGACCTCTGCAGTTTGACCTTTCACACAGAATCAAAAGACCGATTCCTGCCAGAAAATAAAATTATATATGAAAATTGTGCCATAACTTTTGTACATGCCACATTTGAACGTTTTATGTATGCATGTTTGTCCGGCTCGATATGCTAAATTTTAGCGAACAGTAATTGTGCATGTTCTCTGCGTTGCATTCACTTATTTTCACATAGAATATGACCGGGGTGCCCAAACTTTTGCACACGGTTATATAGTGAATCGTACTGTACTGATGTGCATGTAAACTGGACTGTAAACTGGACTGTTAACGGTCTAGTCTTTCGTACAGCTGTCGTTTTGGTCCGGTGTCTAACTAAACTCCTACTCTGGCTGTTTTGTGCAGGTAAATGTGGTCAGATATTCAGATGTTGTGTCTTCAGTTTTCCGCTGCTGACCTTTTTCCGTGCTCCTCTAGGTTTGGACTGGATCACCCTTCGCCTCTGTGGTCGTCTGCCGCAGGGCAGAAGCCCTTTGGGCTTTTTTTCCTTTTTTGTTTTATTATTTCTGAGTTTTAGTTTGACTCGGACTGCAGCAGAACTATGGAGGAGAACAGAAGCCCCCTGAAGTCAGGCAGGCCGACTCGCTCTGCAGGGGGCAAAAATACTAAAGGACAGAAGGACGGCGCGTCTCAAAGGGACAGCGGCAAGGCGGGCGGACGCAACAAGGAAGGAGTGTCGCGAGTGAAGGACGAGGGTCAGGGCAGCCACGGCGGTGGCCGGACTTTAACGGGCAGCCCTCAGGACCAGGGCAGGGCCTCCAAATCCCGCCGGCTGACCGGCAGGACCAACTCCGGAGAGAGGGGGAAAGGAAAACCTGCGGCCCAGCAGGCCGAGGGACGTCAGCAGGCCCAGGACAGCAAAGCGGCGGGCAGGAGCGGAGCGGCCAAGGGGCAGCCGGCTCACCAGGTGCTGCTAAGCGCTCCGGAGGGGAGTAGCTCTCACAACAAGCCGTCCAAACTGGCCACAGCAAAGGACAGGCAAGCAGGTGAGGCGACAGAGGCAGCTTTAGCTTTGACCAGTGGCTCCAGTCCTGACCTCACTGAACAGATCAGATCAGATGCACTTATATGGCTGCTATACTCTGACCGGCCACTTCAGTTATTGTCCATTTTATCAGCTCCACTGACCGTATAGGAGCACTTTGTAGTTCAACAATTACAGATTGTAGTCCATCTGTTTCTCTGCATACTTTGTTACCCTGTTCTTCAGTGGTCAGGACCCCCACAGGACCCTCACAGAGCAGGTATTATTTGGGTTCTCAGCACTACAGTAACACTGATGTGTTGGTGTTGTGTTACTGTGTGTTGCGCTGGTATGAGTGGATCAGACGCAGCAGTGCTGCTGGAGTTTTTAAACGCTGTGTCCACTCACTGTCCACTCTATTAGACACTCCTACCTCGTCAGTCCACCTTGTAGGTGTAAAGTCAGAGACGATAGCTCATCTGCTGCTGCACGGTTTGTGTTGGTCATCCTCTAGTCCTTCATCAGTGGTCACAGGACGCTGCCCACAGGACGCTGTTGGCTGGATATTTTTGGTTGGTGGACGATTCTCAGTCCAGCAGTGACACTGAGGTGTTTAAAAACTCCAGCAGCACTGCTGTGTCTGATCCACTCAGACCAGCGCAACACACACTAACACACCACCACCATGTCAGTGTTACTGCAGTGCTGAGAATGATCCACCACCCAAATAGTACCTGCTCTGTGAGGGTCCATGGGGGTCCTGACCACTGAAGAACAGGGTGAAAGGGGGCTAACAAAGTATGCAGAGAAACAGATGGACTACAGTCTGTAACTGTAGAAGTGCTCATTTACAGACACACAAGTATGTGAAACTGTTCTTATTAAAACTAGCTGCTCTGCAATGCTGTGCTGTGTTATCTAGTACCTCTCTGGGAGAATCAAACTGTGGAGGCACCAAAGAAAAGAACAGAACAAAACATAGCCACGGTTCCCCACACTGTGTCTCAAGGTCACAGCACTAAACTTCCCTGACCAGTAATCACAGGTAGATGTGGTGGTGCCCGCCTGCTGACCGTGGAGCCCTACTGTGTACGATCTATAGCCAGGTGCCTCGTACCTGTCTGAAACCCGCGGTGGTGCAAATACGACTCTAGCAACTCTGCAACCAGTCCAGTTTTATAAGATCCAGAAAAATCTCATTCGGATATTTAAGAATGTAAAATATCAGATTTAAACTGGTTTATTACTGGTTGTTCTCACTGTGGTGCAGAGTGTATCTGTGTTTGTTTACTATGAATAGTGTATAGTATGAAACATAAGTTCACTAACAAAGCACTGTGACTAATCCGCTGTGTTCAGTGGCCGGTTGCACCAGCTCTGCGCAAGTTCAAACGGCTAGTAAGCGTTATAGTTCAGGTTTATGCATTACTTAGTTGCACCACAACTAGTTTTAACGTTGAGCTTCGTAGTTACTAAATATTTCCACCCCCCTGAGCAGGTGTAAGTTTTGGGGAAGCCATCAGAAACCATGTAGAAAGAAAAAAAAAAGACCAAAAACTTGACTTTTTTTGGTTAAACTAAGCTAAAAACTGAACGTGATACGCTGTGACTTTACTCACAGCTCTAATCATCGGCCTGGTTTGAACTCCGAGCATGAAGCTAAACACCCACAGCTCCAGAGACTCAGCGTCTGCCCGGCTAAACTGATCTGCTGGCGTGTCGGTCAGCCAGAAACTATCGTTTATAAAGCTGCGTATTTGTGTTCCTCAGTGAAATATTAAAGACTAAACAGCGTCTGTAGATAATCAGCTTTATTCAGTTTAACTTGTACACACTGTTCCCTTCTATGCTGGATATTATTTCCATTGAAAAAGTCAGAGCAGCTGCCATCGCGTTTCCATGGCAGCGGGTTTACCGATCAGTTCCGAACATGTCATCATGTTAAAGTGACGTACGCATCGGTTAGTTGTTGCTAAAACATGACCTACGAATTTGCGGTGCAGCCAAATTTAGTAAAAGGATGGTTTGAAACTATCTAGTGTAGCTGAATCAGTAAAGACTTTACACAAACCTGGTGCAACACAGTCCAGGTGTCCATCGCTATAGACATGTTTATGTTGGTGTCATTTAAATAAGAGATCATCAGTATCACTGCTAAACACTCCCCTCACAGTTACTACATAATTGCCTAATCACAGTTGTTGGAGATGATGGTGATCGTTTAAGCCGTCTCCAATCATTTTTAATGATAATGCTGCGACAGACAGAATGTGAATTGGGTCGTTGGGTTCAGACAAATAAAATGTGAATGAAAGATGGCAGTAAATGCATTTATTGGGGCTCATAAAAACAAGATAAAGTTCTAACTTTGTGCTCTAGCATGTTTGGAGGGCAGGGCTGAGGAACGTTGGTGTGTCTCCCAGCACCGTTAGTTCTTATGCTTTCACTCTTGTGAAAAGCGTGTAGCTTTGCTTAACCGCATTAACTACATTTGTGTGCGTGTGTTTGCGGTATTGGTTCAGCACCCAGTGTTATCAGCCAGTTCGGCCCTAGTTTTTGTGTTTTGATAGTTGAAAACCGGTGAAGAAGAAAAGAAAATGAAAGCAGTAACTGCAGTTATTTATATGACGGTTAACTGTCAACCAAAAGTGATCGAAACAGTCCTGCTGGTTTCATTTCAGAGTACGTGCTGCGTTCGTCATGAATCAAGATTGCATGAACGTTCGTTAGATAGGAGATTTGAGTCTAACCTTGCAGACCAGAGTCGTTATGTTTCATGAGGACTGAAAATGAAAGCTAGCATTGGAAAAATGTAACCATAATAAAAACACACCAGCTGAGTCAGAACTATAATGCAACACGAACAAAAATCAAGTAGTTTAACCAAGAAAAAGTGTTTCCAGTGCGAGAAGAACTTGATTGCTGTCACACCTTTACACAATTTTCCCTTTACCCCAGATGTAGTCGATCAGCCGAGACATGTTTGGAGTCCAGTTTTTGCCTCTGTAGTTTAGAGCTAGAGCTAATGAAGGCTGATGTAGCTGACAAACACTAGAGTCAATAGTCACCCAAATCTTTTCTGGAAGTTCTTCCCCAGAACTTCTCTAAGCCTGCTCAGACTGCATCCAGCCCTTCGGTTAGTTCGCCAGACTTATGTGGTTCACAGCATGACTTGCTGTGAGCTGTACAATGAACAGAACTTCACTGTGTAGTTGATATATGTAAATGAGCTCTGTTCTGATGGGCTGTCCTCCACTGTGCCTCATTCAAAAAGAACTCAGAGCTGAAACGCTCTTTATAACGTAAGTGTGAACGGCACTGAAGCTTCAACCGTGTTTACATACTACACAAACTCTTTAATGTAAAATAAAAATAAATGAGAATTTGGTTTTCCATGAGCTCTTGAGTGTACTGGTGATATTGTGAAGCAGCCTAGCTGAGTATAGTGCACAGTGGTTCTAATATTCGCCCTATTTATAAAAAACAGAACCTAAAACTGAATCAAAACTGAATTAAAACTCTTTGTATTGTAAGATAAAATTAAAACTCATGCACTGTTAAACCAGATGTTACTGAGTTGTTTTGTACTGATTTGTGTTAATCTAGAGATTTTAGAGTAAAACAAACTGATGTACCATGATTGACTGACTCAAATCGTTCTAGATAACTGTAAATAAATTGCTCATTTGTTTATATTTTATCTGTACAGTAAATAAAGTGAAGTCCAGCTGTGGTTTGCCTGGTCAGGAAGCTGCTTAAGTTCACAAGTCTTTTGTTGTGAGAGGTTTGAAGGTGGTCAGAGCTGATTGGCTGAGGGGTTAATGGTGATGTAATGGGGCTGTTACTCACTCTCACTCTCACTCTCACTCTCACTTTCTCTCTCTCTCTTTCAGGTGAAGCGTTGGGGAGACGTCCGGTGGAGTGTATTCCAGACGTGATGGGCTCGGTGGACGAGGGGAACCTCACCTCTGACCAGCAGCTGGGCCTCAAACAGGCCGAGGAGAGACTGCAGAGAGACTACATACACAGACTGGCCAAGGTAAAACTTTCACCCTCCCCAGGAGCTCCGAGAGGGATTCCCTAATCCAGCGTCCATCCCAGCTCTGGAGTATTGATTCATTTCTAACACAGCGTCTAATTGGAGAGTGTGGTTTCGTAGGTAACACAGACAAAAAGGGTAGTTTATACGCAAACGAAGTTCTCTTTCTCTGTGAAACATTCCGAGAACTATTTGAATGTCAGACCAGTTCGTCTCTATGATGGAAAGCCTTGTGTGGTTCTTGTAAAGAACCTTTTAAAAAGGTTCTGTGCAGCACCAAAGGTTTTGCTATTGTTGGAACTTTTCTACTAAAGTCAGAACTTGCTTTAATTCTGTGTGAAACCAGTTTTGCTAAGAGTGTATTGGTAAATTATTTACTTTCAGGAGAAGGGAAAACGTTCTCAGCTTTCAGTGGAGGTTAATGTGGGTAATTTTGGAGCGTATCTGCTGGTTCCTTTGTCATTTTATCAGATTTTAACACAATATGAACGGGAACTGGCATTTCCAAGTTATGTAAATAAAAAAAAAAAAGGTTTGTTAACAGCAACGATATGCTATTAAGGCTTTGACCACGTATTGACCACATAATAATTTGCAATAACTGCTTTTAAATCAAGGTAAAATGTATTGTTTTTAGATTAATCTGTTTAGCGCAGCCCAGACCTGCTTTTACTTCCTTTACGCACAACAGTGTTGAAGACAACCTTAAAGCTACAGGGGAACTCCCCTGACTTTTAAAAATGTCTGCATAACTGCATCATTTAGATCTTAGTCATTCAGAGTGGTTTGAAGTGAAAGTGCTCGCAGTGGTGATGATGGGAACCAAACGTCTGAAAGGTTTAATCCCTCTAAAAGCTCCTTTACAGAATGGTTTTACATGAAATGTTCAGAACATGTCGTCTGATGTCTGAGAGAGTTTTACGATAGATTTGAGAAGATTTTGGCCTAAAACGTGTTATAAAAAAATACATTCACAAAGAGGAGATACATGCAGGGCGTTGTGAGTCCCAACAGTCCCAACAGTCTCAGTCTCCGACCCCTAAACTCTGGAGATCTGCTGCCCTGTAGAGTTCAGTTCTAGAGTTTAGTCCTAAACTCACACGCCTGACCCAGCCCAGCCTTTGGTCAGTGTTATTTCAGTTTGTACTTCTTGTTACATGTATTGAGGATTCACTGCCTCCTGATCTGGAGCCTGAATTGTGGTTTTCTTGCTCTTATTTTTACGGTACTAATCATTTGTTGACTTACGGCATAACAAGTTATTAGTAGTCCTTCATATTTCTGCTCAGTTATCATCGCGTTTGTCACAGAAGTGGGTAATATGATGATATTTATCGCTGTCGTGATTAAATTGCGTATGGTGGAGGTCGTCAGTACGGAGCAGCAATAACGTCCCTGGGTCAAGTTGAATCGCTGCATGTTTAACCTCCCGAAAGTAGTTAAAAGAGGTGTTTTTTTCCATAAACGTTTATCTTTAGCTCAATATCTATTTAATCCGTATTTAGTGTGATCGCGGTTTTCACCCTTTACGGATCATGGTTAACAGAAGATAATTCACTTTATTTTTATTAAAAAATAGTTTTTAATTTTTTTTCTGTACATCAGCAAAAACTAGTCGTTTTATTTATTGTTATTTAGATGATATTTTAATATTTTCTAACCACATGTTTTAATGCACGGTTGCTGTTTATTTGTTTATTTTAAAATATTGTCTAAAAATCATAAAATGTCTTGTGCAAAAGTTCTAGAACTTTTATGTATATGTATATAAGCTTAAAAATGCAGAAAAAAAAATTTTTTATCTTTTTATTTTTTTTCTGTTGGTTTTAATTAGTGCAATTAACTTGTAAATGTGAAAATCACTAATTTAGTGTGTTTGCAACTCCCCTACATGTTTATATTACACATGATGTTCGGGTCAGTTTGACCCTGTAGTGCGAATGGAGGCTACAAAATGTAAAAATTTAAAATTTGAACCAAAACTGATTTAATTTCTTTTAAAATTTGAGGCACGGTGTGATTTTCTGATCCCTCTCAACCACAACACACACACACACACACATACAGTTTTCTTTGTTCAGGTTTCCAGTATTAAACATTGTTGAAAACCATGACGTAGTTTTAAAATAATAAATGGCTCATTTAGTGTGATTTGAATGGAATTAAGCAGACAGAACAAATAAAACAGTTTGAAAATTATTTTTAATGAAAAATGAGTGAATTATCTGAATTAAATTGATCTGTAAGGGGTGAAAAACGTGATTGCACTAAATACAGATTAAAGATAATGTTAACAGAGAAAACTGTATATTTTTGGATGGTTAAACATGCATTGGGTCAGTTTGGCCCAGGAACATTGTTACTGTTGAACAGAGCAGGAAATTAATGTGCATTTTGTGACTCATTCAGCTGCCGACTGTTAGCCGACAGTTCACACGTGTGAACTAGACGCGTTGATGATTTTCATTCAGTATCTGTGTTCTGATATTTAATGTTTTTCACGTACAGTAACAACATTTCTGCACATTTTAATGCACAGTTGCTGCTTATTTGTTGAATTTAACACATATTGAATGAAAAACACACCATCAAATGTGTCTTGTGCAAAAATCATGGTACATTTTTATATATGTTTTTTATTCCAGCATGTGAAACAAGCAAATAAATAGAAACTGTGTTAAAAGTAGCTGAAAATGTCCTACTTGAGTTCCCTGTAGAAAATGTGTTGACTTGTTTCAACTTAGAAAATCAATGTGTCATTTGACCAGGGGTGACCTAACTTTCCAACAACTGGACCTGTTTGTCAAGTCGAATGCAAAAGTTTGAACATGTCAAATGAAATGTTGGATGGATTTTTAAGTGAAAACATTAATTTTTAAGTAAAAATCTAATAAAAATGTTCTTTTTTGGGTTTGTAGAGACGAACAATGCTGCTCTAAAGGCAGTTCGTTGTAAACTGAGCTTCCTGAGCAGTTTAGCATGCAGTTTGTGACTCATTCAGCTGCCGTTAGCTGACAGTTCACACGTGCGAATTGGATCAGTTGTGCTCTGGAGCGACTGGGTCTGGCAGTTCCTCCTGTGCTGTTAATCACAGACCCATCAGAGACAGTCGAGGAGCCGTTAATGGCCTCTTACAGCCTCTCGCATTAGCATATCAGCCTCAGTCTGCATGTGTGAAGAGCCTCTCAGTGTAGTGACTGGCTTTTTCCTGCTGTCTGAGATTTCAGTATCATTATTGTTGTTGTTATTATTTGTTGTATTTTATTTTGCAGCAATCTCCCGACTACCCAAATTTCCAGTATCTATGCAAACTGTGCTCGGTTCACGTGGACAACATCCAGGGTGCTCACAAACACATCAAGGAGAAGCGCCACAAGAAGAACATAATGGTGAGTAACACCACAGCCCACGGGCGCAAAACGTGACCGAGTGGCTGGAAGCGCCTGCATGATTAGCTGATATAACTGATGAATATTTTAATACAGACTAATAACAAACTGTGCTCAATCAGGTGTCCTGAGGCCTTTAGCTGATAAATCATAGCAGCGTTTTACTCTGTATTCTCGTATCATCTGGGCTTGTTTTGTTCCAGAACAACTCGGCTCCAGATCCCACAGCTCCCAGGCTGGGTCTGGCATTTATTGTGTGTGTTGTGCCCCGAGAGAGAGATACATAGATAGACAGTGTGTGTGTGTATATACTGTATTCTTCATACGTCTTTGACACCAAAAATAGAATATCACATAGGAAGCGAGATTTGTGCTGGGAAACCCCACACACACCTCATACCTCATAACCACATCCTGAGGGAAAAACAAAATCCCCTAAAAGAAACTTGTCTCATCATTTTTTCCAGGGTTTTGTTTGCTTAAACACTCCTTTAAGCTCTTTTTTTGTTAGTGTTTATCAGAAATTCTTTTATCACCACAAACTACAACTATCAATAACTGATCCCTGTCATAATTATAATTATCGTTATTCATATTTCTCTTAATAATAATAATAATTATAATAACAGTAGTAATACTATGAGTAGCAGTGGTAGTATAAATATTTTAATGTTCAATTAATTCAATGACTTCACAACAGCAGAATTATAGGGGACTCTTATTATGATAGTATTATCATTCTTGCAGAACGCAGTTAAACACGTGACGGGACGTGTGAAGCTATATATTTATATATATGTTTATCAAAATTTGAATATTAGTTTAATACTTTGCTGACATGAATAAAGAACAGACCTGTAGCTTCGGTTATCACAGCACAACAATATCAACCACACAGATGAGGCCACCGTGAGCTCGTTTCATACCAGTCATTCTGCAAGACGGCAAAATGGAATACGCTCCACTCGGCTGCTTTTATGAGTTTTTCAGGGGGTTTTTTTGTGCTGCCCTAATGTGACCTCATCCTTCCCCATCGATATCACCTGATCGGTCACTACTCAGCATTACAGGACCTCATCATTTACAAATGAAGCGTGTTACATCTGTAACAGTCAGAAAGGTTTTTCAGAGAAGTGTTACTTGATTATTTAAATGAGCTTTTTTTATTAAATGTTTATTAATGTGTACATAGTAAGGAAAGTAACTGGAAGGCTAAATAACCACCATAAAAAGATTACATGCTTCATTCATATGCAAAATACAGTAACTCTGTATTAGAACTCTTTCATTATTCATTATTGTGACGTGATAAACATGTTAAACATTAGATTGTTTTCTCCTAATGAAACCTGTTTAGCCTGTTGCATGCTAAGTTTTTGCGAACACTGTTGTCAGTTATTTATTTCAGTCACTTTGAAAAGCTAAAGCCGTGCTGTTTCTGCCGAGCTGAGCGACTCATGGTGCCCGTTTACCTGTGTGTTTGTGTAGGAGAAGCAGGAGGAGAATGAGCTGAGAGCTTTACCTGCTCCCTCGGCGGCTCAGCTGAGGGCTGTCGACGCTGCGGTGATGGAGGCAGCACAGCAGCATGGGATTTCAGAGGAGGACTTCCAGCAGAGACAGAGCGTCCTGCAGCGCATGGAGAAGATCATCCAGAAACACCTGCCCAGTACGCTCCCTTACACGGCACTCGCAGGAGGCCTGCGCCAAACAGACGAAACAGCATATATGATTATATTGCTGTAGTGATTTCAGTGCAGCTTACACTGTACTGCAGTAAGACTAGTGAAGCTAGTTTTATTGAGGCCAAAATTACATATCTGTAGCATTATATCAATACCTTGGTCAATCCAGACACCAGAAGACCTGCTGAAGTTGGTCAGGATTCTCTCAGAAAATGAGATACAGACATCTGCATTATGAAGTTTAATATCAGTGATGAAAAATACAGTTCAGCCTGACCTCAAACTCACCCCGGTGCTTCTCAGACTGCTTCCTCTTTTCATCAGAGAAACTACATCCTTGCACTGTAAGCCTGTGGCGGCTTGCATAAAACATCTCAAGTGTTTATTTTTGAGTTTAACGCTAAATAGATGAGTTTCACGGTCAAGTAACTTTTACTTTTTTACTAAAATAGCTGTTATTGTGACACATTTAAACATGACATTAACAAATGATCTGTTGCTCCGCCTGACCTCAAACTCGCAGCAGTGCTTCTCAGACTAGTTCCTCTCTTCATCAGAGAAACTTCATGCTTGCACTGGGAGCCTGTGGCAGCCTGCGTTAAACGTTAAAATACACAAGTGTTCATTTATTAGCTTAGGTTTAAATTAAAGGGTGAGTTTAAAGCTGTGAATTTAAATTTCACAATGTGAAAAACTGAAGTGCTGAAACTTACTGAACTCCCTGAAACGCTTGCTTAAGGTGAAGGGAAAACTTATGGCCAGAATTCGCTCAAGCAACACACTGGGCCTTATCTAAAAATAATTAGCATCTAATAATTAACAGAACACTCCAGTTGAGACAGTGGTGAGGTTACTGTACCACTGACTGATGGCTTATCAGTGAGTTGCTTATCTAAATCCACTTATGTCACCTAGTGCCTACATTAGTGGACTGTACAGACTGCAGTTAGTGAACAAAGGAATTCAGTGGACAGTCAGAAATAGTATAACATATATACACATCCACAGTATACAAAGTAGACATAGGTGGTATTTACAGCAGTGTAGACCAGAAAAGATATGACTGACAGCTACAGATGTGCAAATATTGTATTAAAGTGTGTTCACTCTCTCTCTCTCTCTCTCTCTCTCTCTCTCTCTCTCTCTCTCTCTCTCAGCCTGCTCTCTGCGTCTGTACGGTTCCTGTCTCACCCGATTTGCCTTCAAGACCAGCGACATCAACATTGACGTCGCTTACCCCTCTAATGTAAGCTGAGCCTTTTCTGCCTCTGTTTTTCTGCTGGAGATGAAGTTCTTGCCTGTTGTCAGTGAAATGTAATTCATTTTACAACCTTTATTTCTACATTCCCAGATGACGCAGCCTGACGTGCTCATCCAAGTGCTGGACATTCTGAAGAAGAGCGGTTAGTATCACACGTCATCACATCTGCTCGATGCAGCAGCACAGCTAACATGCAGCATGAAGGCTAAAGAAAACGTGCACCATTGAAGCCACTTTGGGTGCTTGAAATAACAGCTGTAGAACTGTGAACTGCGATTAGCGGTTTAATTGTCTTTAGGTCATTCCAGTGTGTCCAGTTTGGCTAGTTAATAAGCTATTCTGCTTACTAGTTATTCTGAAAAGAAAGAACAGCGTAATGCGATACATCAGCTAGCAGGTAGAATATAACTGAGGGTGTATTACAGCTTATTAACACTCAGCTTGTCGTGAACAACACGCTTTTTTTTGTTCTAACGCACCATCAGAGCTTCTCGCAGTGTTACGGACAGCATGTCTATTACTATCTTAACATTAAATGGCTCAGCTGCTGCCCACACTGGCCTCAGGCCGGTTATAAACACTGTAATTAAACCACTCAGATAACATTCCTGCACTAGGTGTGGGTAATAACTGTGCTGGGTGAATCAGTGTAAATGTCTAAAGGATAATTTCATCAATATTCCCCAATTTCTGAGATGTAAACAGTCATTCTGAGTGTTTTGGTGTGAAATCGTTGATTGTAGAGATTCAGATGTCTTTACAATGGTGGTGATAGGAACCAGGGGTCGCCATGACTACAGTATAAATACAGCTGTATGCAAAAGCTGGAACCCCACCAGAATGTGGAAATAACAGAGAACAAACTTAAAAATGGCATTTTTTTGCCAGTTTTATTGCACAGTCTCTGTTTATTTGCTAAGTTCAGTAATGGAAAAGCATGTAAAATGTGCCAAAACTTTTGCACAGGCTACTGTTTTAGTTTTTTTCACCCCAGTATGTTAAATTCAGCAAATGAACAGTATTTGTGCATTAAACTGTGCGAAAGTGTTCTCTGTAGATGTTCTAACTTATTTTACTTAGACAGTCAACATTACATTTGACCAAAGGCGCCCAAATTTATGCTCACTGTGTGGCCGTTACTGTCCAAAACAACCAGTGAGCCTTCGTCGTTTTATACGTTTTGTTGATTACAGTTAAATAGTGGTAAATCTGAAAAAAATAAGTTGATAAGTTGATAAAAAGAAGGTGAATGGGCTTAAAACATACCTTTTAGGCCAAAATCTTCTCAAACTGTCATGAAACATTGTCAAAAGTTTATATATCATTATCAAATTGTCTTCATAACCCTTTCCTGTAGTAACTTTCTGTGAG